AGTAGGGGCGGCGCCCCGCGTGGGGAAGGTGTTGAAAGAGGCGCTAGGGACAGAAACGCATGTCTTAGCTTCCGCCAGCCTCCTGAACGCCCTCATGGACCTATTTGGCAGGGACGAGCTGGATGCCGTGTTCCAAGAGCTGAAGATGTTGCCCATGCTGACGAAAGTGTTGCCGGCATTCCGCCTCAAGGCCAAGACGGAGGCGGGGAAGCATGGACGCGATGCGGTCGGTCACGTGAAAGAAACGGCTTTGAATCTAGCGCGCTTCATCAAGTATAAACAGAGGTGACATTGCCTACCTCCGGGTACCCTTCCCCGCCTTGTCCACAGACGTATTGATGGCAAGTGAAGAAGGGCCGTCTTTTCCTGCCTCTGCGACTGGCGCCGTGTACCTTCAGCATCACGGAGTCTTACTCGAAAGTCGTTGACCGATACGCCGGGTGGTCGCACGTCGTGGTGCGTGGGGTCGCTAAAGAGTCCTCACGGCCTTAAAGCGGGCACGGATCGCCTGCTCCGTGTGCTAGGGAAGCCGGGGGGAAACGTGGCGAATGTCTCCCTCGGAGACGGCACGCACCGTCGAAGACCAGGAGGAGTTTACTATGTACGCATTTGCTTGTATAAGGAGAGATGGGAATAATCAATGCGACGGAACAAGCGCTCCTATCACGAAAAGCACCTCAATTGTGAGAGCATGGTTTTGATTGTGAATATGCCTTTGAAATCAAAATTATAGAACAAGCCCTGTAGAATGATTGCAAGCTTTTTCTTCTTCTGCTTTCTACAAGCTTTGAGCCTCTGGCAGACGAAGGACTGTTTGACTTCGGCGTTTGACATCATCGAGCTCCTCCTCATTCACTACCCCATGCCGGGCGGCCAGGGGCCTGGTCCTTCTCCCCCATGCGCTCTTCTTCTGCACTTTACCAAAATCTTACGCATATAATATCTTTCCCAGCCACCATGCAACAAAAGGCTTCAATGGCATGTAAACCCGTAAACAGATCCATTCAGTCCGTTGTGGCCGCCTGGCGACGCATGATCTGTTTTGCCCTCCCCACTACTCCTTCTCTCTCTCGCAGCACCATCTCCCTTACATAATGCTGCAGCCACCGCAAGACACGGCCTCTCTTTTCTGGTACTGCTCCAGGTAGTTCAACTGCCGCATGTTGATGGCCCCTCGACGTTTCGAGCGAATGAACTCCACCACTGCCGAAGCGTCGCCGAAACCATGCTCGATCAGAGCCAAGGCGACCAAAACAGGAGCTCGCCCAAGGCCTGCCACGCAATGCACGGCAATCGTTGGTGCTGGCTCTTCCGATTCCTCCAGTTCCTGGGGGGAAGCTGCGGCCGCCCCTTGATGGGAGTTCTCGCGCCAAGACATGGAACGTGCGAGGGCCACGCCCGATTTCCCTGACTGAATACCCGGATATGAAGCAGCTGGCGAGAGAGAGGGGGTGAGCCGCGCCGGCTTGCTGAAAACGTCGTCCACCAGGGCCAGCCAGCGATCGATCACGTCCTGAGGCGGGCTGCTGCCGTCGTCGTAGCCCATGTCCAACACCTGGATGCCCGCGGCTTCCACTTCTTCCGTGTCGTACGTGGGCTCACACACACGCACCAAGGCAATGACGTTATGACGCTTGGCTTCTCGAATGTAGTGGGAGAGGTTGCAGTCGCGAGGGGCGTCCATGAGCAGGAAACGCAGCTTGCCCCAGGCGAGGAATGTTGGCTTCCCTGCCAACACCGCCATGGCCGAGGTTTGAGGCACGCTGGAGTAAAAGTGTTTCGGTGCCGACTGGGGAGGAGCCATTGTGTGTCGATATAGGTGTTGCTTGAAGGAAAATGGGAAGAATTGCGAATTTTATCTCTGTTCGGCCAAGATTGTGGTGTTGAAGGTTCGTTTTTGGCTAGCCTGTGACGATCGCCTGAGAGGATCTGGCTGTCTTGCTATCGAAGAATCCAGAGTTACGGTATATAGATAGCTAGAAATAGCTTTGATCAGTTAAAGGTGGTGTCAATGATTGTGGCCCGTCGCTTGCTGTGACCTCCGCTACCACCGCTCAAAGAGTCAATCCTTCCGGTGCGCTAGGGCGGGCGGAAAGAAGGAGGGGATGTCTCCTTCGTCCACAGGCACCTGCCTACACTAAAGGCCGCCAGGGCTGATGTTGTTCGGGTTGACCTTCGAGTCAATGACCTGTGTACGAGAAATCAAAGGGATATGGGACGGTAGAGTGTAAGTCAACGACTGTGGGCCGTGAATCGCCTTGAGGCATGACGTCGCAGCGTTGCCCACAGCCAGGCAGGGAATCAAAACTAGCCAAAAAGTCTGCAAACACATGCCAGTCAACAAACTGGACAAGAGGACACCAAGCCCATTCCCTCTCTCTTAAACGCCTCCGTCATTGAAGTCAACTTCGTGCGCTTGACGCGCTGGCGGCTTAGACGGACGTGAAGCATGGCGAAGGATCGACGTCCCGACACGATTTTTGGAGGGGAAGAAGCGGATAAGGCCAGAGGGCGCCAGCGGCCCGGGCTAGCACCTTCTAGCGCGGTCATTTTGGGGCACGATGTTTTCCAGCCACGCTTTCGTGTGCAACTGACAGAAACATTATGAGGTATTTTTCTACGTTGGATTTTTGAAGGGAGGTCTTGGTGTTAATGCATAGATTTTAAATTCAGACTAGGAGTTCCGTTTTGCCACCCCCACAGGAGACGTAGTATCCACACAGCATGGCAGGGAAGCCTAAATGTGTACTTGCCTACAGTGGTGGATTGGACACGTCTGTCATCCTCGTTTGGCTCATTGAGAAGGTACGCGAGCCCCTTGAATGTTGGGAAGTGCTGTGAAAAATCAACATTTCGCCTCCTATTTCCCTAGTCTTAGCCTCCCCACCCTACTCGCTGGTTCATCACTACAGGGATTTGATGTGATTTGCTACTGCGCGAACGTAGGCCAGCTGAAAGAGGATTTCGACAAAGTTCGTGAAAAGGCCTTAAAATGCGGGGCATCCAAGGTATTATCGGCTGGATTTTATGAAAAACATAAGTGAAAGGGAAGGAGTGGTGGCGAGTATCTTATCGGATGGGGCAAAGGAGAACAAATAATAGCTCACAAAATTTCAATTCATGCTTTGGGATGATCAGGTGTATATCGAGGATCTTCGAGAGGAGTTTGTGAAGGACTATGTATTCTGGGCGGTGAAGGTAAGGGTTTATGCCTACGCTCTCTTGTGTCCACTAGGTTGGGGCAACCGAAAGCTTGATGTTGTGCGACGAATCAAGAAGTGAAAGACTACAATATATTTTTCGTCCGCTTTCAAAAGGGTGAATTGGTGTACGCTGCACCTTTAATCTAGCAACATTTTCACGCCCGTGGCCCCTTTCCCTTCCCTCCTAGGCCAACGCCCAATATGAAGGACGCTACCTTCTGGGCACCTCCCTGGCCCGACCCGTCATTGCCAAGCGGCAGGTGGAGATCGCGCAGAAGGAGGGTGCCAAGTGGCTATCCCACGGGGCGACTGGCAAAGGGAACGACCAGGTGCGGTTCGAGCTGTGTGCCCAAGCTTTGGACGCAGCCATCCAGACGCTGGCCCCGTGGCGCGAGACGGAGTTTATCGAGCGATTCAAAGGACGCCAGGACCTCCTTGACTACGCGGCGGCCCACAATATTCAGGTGTGCTGGGAAAGATTGTGAAGGGCATTCAAAGGGGCCAAATATCTGTGTATGTCTTGACTTCTTCCTGAGTGCGAGCCTCCGACGGAGCCTGAAACTGACTCCTTCGCCTTACCATGCATGCACTTAAGGTGGAGGCCACCAAAAAGGCCTCCTATTCGGTGGATGAGAACCTCTACCATACCTCCTACGAGAGCGGCATGCTGGAGGATCCGATGGTCCCTCCCCTCAAGGAGATGTTCAAGATGACTGTGGACCCGGAGGACGCGCCTGACAAGGTGAGCTTGGCCCCTCCCCGGGCCCCTCACTTCCTTCCCACCTGCCTCCTCTCTCCTGTTTCTTTGAAAAGCATAAGCGTTCTGGCGAGTGACACTTTCTTCTCCATGTTCATCCCATTTCTCTTCTCCGCGGGGCAGGCCGAGAAGGTTCGGATCGACTTCGAAGAGGGCGTGCCTGTCAAGGTGACGAACCACGACGACGGAACCGTGAAGACGGAGCCGCTGGAATTGTTCCTGTACTTGAATGAGCTGGCGGGAAAGCATGGGGTAGGGCGCATCGATATCGTGGAGAACCGCTTTGTGGGGATTAAGAGCCGTGGCGTGTACGAGACCCCCGGGGGCCAGATTTTGCGGGTGGCCCATATGGACCTTGAGGGTCTTTGTGTGGACCGGGAGGTCTTGCGTTTGAAGGAAGGGCACCAGCTGGAATTTTCTCGTCTGTGCTACAACGGCTTTTGGTTTGCGCCGGAAATGGAGCTGACCAAGGCGAGCATTGATTTCACCCAAAGGCGCGTCGCTGGGGGGGTGGAGCTGTCGCTGTACAAGGGAAACGTTACTGTGCTGGGGCGAGAAAGCCCGTACTCTCTGTACTCGGCAGACCTGGCCAGCATGGAAATTGAGGGCGGCGGAGCAGCTTTCGATTACGTCCCTATGGACGCACAAGGCTTTATCCGCATCAATGCAGTCCGGCTCCGAGCGTACAATGCGCTAGAACGCACCTTCAACAAATGAGATGGTTGGCAAGACATAGAAGAAGAACTCAATTAATTGCAATAACGCTGTGCGTATTTGATGAGGCCGAAGTGGAAAAGTGGGGCGTTCGACAGGCGAGAAGTGCTCGGGTAAGAGTAATTCATTTTTTTTGAGAGGTCAGGGCTAATTTTGGTGTGCAAGGACGGCAGAAACGAGGTGTCATTGCACGCAATTTTTCCGGTGCGTCCCGAAAGTAACTGAAACTTACGTATGATTCCAATATAAGGGAAAGTAGTGAGAGCGAGTTCCTCGACAGAGCATTGCTGGATTTTCTGAAAATGTATGAAGGTGTCAGGCATTTCCCTTTTTCTGGGTGACTGACACCTCCTACCTCCACGCCCCCGTCTGTTTTCCCGTTGTTCACGGCCCCCTTCTTCTTAAACTCGACTGTACGCATCGTCTGGTCGTCCAAAAACCGATCGTCCCGTATGGTATTTTTGTATTCCAGGGATGGTGTTGAAGACGTTGTTTGTCATCGCCGGTCTCGCCAAGCCGTGGAAGCAACCTCCTCGATCCTCATCACTCCAACTCCTTACTCTATGAAGGTCATTTTTTTATCCAAATCCACTGGATAGGCGCGTATCAAGGTCCATGTCAAAACTTGAGGGAAGTTCTAGCTTGGAAATTTTTCCACCTCTCCACTTTTTCTCTTCTTGTTCTCTTCTACCGTCCCCTACTCAGCCTCCGCCTTCACTGTTCAATCCGACGTCCAACTTCGTCTTTGATGGTGACGCAGCAATGCTGCGAAAAAATTCAAAAGTAAAGAATGTAATCGATGCTTATATTCAGTATCGTCAACTAGCCTGGTCCGTCTATGGAAGAAAAGCAGTGAGAGAAAGAAGAGCTTGCACAAAAGTACTTTCGGGTATGGATGTAGAAGAAAATGTCAATCACAAACATGAGAATTGCAGCCTCGATGACGATAACAGGCAGCAGCAAGACATCTCCAATACTAGCATTTTTTTGCAGTATTCTTTGATCGCCCTCCAAGATGCTGTCTCGGTGGCACAGGCATTGAAGGAGGAAGAAGCAACCTTTTGGAAAGCCACTGACGAAAGCATCGAATATGTTGTCTCTGAAGGGAAAAGGTGGCGGTCAGTGTCAACGTCACCCAAGACACACAGCGGACTACTGGATTCAATGCACGAATACACAGCATCCTACATTTCACCTTTAGCATCAAGGCCGCCCTTAACGGGCGCAACTACATCCTCCCCCTCGACAACACACTCAAGCACTTGTTCCGGCAAGCACGTCACAAGCAGTACTTGTGGCCTTCTTCTTGCTAACAACCCTATCACATGCTACATCAGTCAGGCGAGGCACAATGAAATCACTACCAAGCCCAGACAGAATTGGAAAGGTGTCTATAACACTCTAAACTCATCCTGCCCTCCGTGCCCCTCTACAAGCATGTCGAGCACAAATTCTGGTGCCGTACCTCGGAAGCATTCCGCCTCTGCTCTGCGCCCTCTACACAACTGGATGCTTGATCATATCCCATCAATCTACACCTCCTCGTCCGCGTTCCCTCCACCTGGATCAGGACCGCCCCCCGTGACTATATCCTTCCCCCCAGCCTCCTCCCCCACGATTCTCAGTCTATCCCAGGCCTCCGGACTCTCTCCAAGTCAAGTGTCAACTTTTTTCGAAAATTTTAGGTAGGTGCCATTTTTTCCCAAGTCCAATTCGTCAAACCGTTGTTGTTATCGTAACTTCGCCCTTGAAGAGAACAAATTTCGTGTCCTTGGTCCCATGTGATCTTTTCTCTGTCTTGTGCACGCTCATGAGCATGTACCAAGCAAGTTCCGAAAATATTGGATCCCTCATTTCGGCCTCTCAAACCATTCCTTTGTTCCTTTTGTCTGTACAAATAGGTACAAGCATCTCTCTCCATTATTGGCTGGCACCCGCAAGCCCGCCACATTTTATGAGGTTGTCTTGTCTTTCAAGCTTGGACTTTCTTTGTCTGCGTGGCTTCCTCTAAGGATAGAGCGGGGGAAAAGCAACATGTCCCTCAAGCGTGGAAGGAAACGAAAAGAAATGGCGCCACGAAAGCGCTTCAAGAAGTCGAAGACGGTTAAAGCCTCAGAGGATTTGCAACCCTACCGACGATCCTATCGCCGCCGACCTCGTCCCTGCGTGGTGGACGAGGAATCAGCGGGGAAGGCAGGAGAGGAGGGTGGAGGCACGCGTGATGGAGCGACAAAGAAAGGGAAGGTGGAAGGTACAGAGGAGGGCTTACGGGAGAGAGTGATAGAGGCGATGGAAAAAATAATTGGGTCACGTGTACGGTAATATACCCAGAAGCTGGACGCGGGCAGACGGAGGGTTTAGTGAGAGAGCACAGTCAGGAGGGGGAGATGGGGAAAGCAGGCTTGTCATGAAGACACAAGAAAGGAGAAAGTGACAATCATATCAGCAGAAAGCAACCCTAAAAAATGACAAGGTTTGTATACCGGTGACTTTGCGTGCGTATTTATGTTATCCCCGCTCCTCGAAGCTTCCGCATATGCGAGGGCATGCCGGGGCGAACTTTTTCTTTCCTTCCTTGCAGATTCTCGGCCCTCCGCGGCACAGAGTCAGGATCGACTCATACAAGTATTTTCGCTTTTAGTCGTCTCCATGTCGCACCCGCAAGGATGATGCGCGCTCTCGTATATTGACAAACCACGCCCCCTTTCCGTCGGGAGCCAACACCTTCTGGGACCCACATGCCTCTTCTCCTTCTCATTCAGCTCATGCACCATTCTAGATCAACAGGGCCTCGATCCGATCCTTTAAGGAATTAATTTGGTCCTTCAACTGAGAGGCCTCATTGGAGAGAATGGCGCAAGAAATGACTGGACGGGTGACGCCGCAGGCGCGGCCAAGGGCGATTTTGGCGGGGACGAAGACGTATGGTACATTCTACACGTAAATATAGGAGATGCAAAGAATGTCAAAATACCTGTAACAATCGAGCAGGAGATTTTGGGGTCCTTACCTTATCCTCACACAGCAAAGGTAAGTGCAACAGAATCTCCAAAGGCTCCGCGTCAGCAGCCATGATGATGAGCTCGGCAATGCCTCGATTCAGAGCTTTCGTGGCTGGAAGGAAATATAAGTGGGAGTGTTAGAAGGGACAAAATGTCAGCATCGGATGCCATCACTGAACTCAACTCCCTGACCACAGTCTGGTAGATCGATCGATAATTAGATGTACACGAAGGATTTCGTGTCATCATCATTTTGGGCACCAACCACGCCAAAACGCGTGTTCTGTATATTCACAGAAACATAATCACTACTCCCGTCCGAATACTGTAATCAGTACTCTCATTTCTCTCTCCGGCCTTCAACCCTCTTCAATCCTCACCCTCGTTCGCTCCCTTTTTCAGCTGCTTGTAATTGTTTGCTTGCTGCACCAGGTCAAGTATTGAGACCGTTAAGTCTGCGCTAGCCAAAGGGAAGGCTTTCTTACTGATCTCGCCACCGTTGCTCATGGTGTGCTGCTATTGCCCGGTAATGCTGTAGGTGGTTTGTTGTTGTCGTCCCTCGAGAAAGTGCAAGCTTGTCGGTGAAGGCACCCAAAATTCGATGCACTGGGTATGTAATCAAGTTTTGTATTGTGTTGGTTGTTAGGTTAAATGAGAACACTATTATCACAGACGCGGTTCACCACATCTCATGACAGACTACCAGTGGATAAGAGGAAGTAGGAAGGAGCATTGAAAGGGTTGATGCATCAGCCATCACACGAGTCGAGCATGCCATCCGTCACCCCTTGGAAATAACATTTTGGCCCGGATAAGTACGCCACGGCGTGAGGCGCCCTCGTCAATGTGTGAATTGATCCCCAAGGCACGGTATCTTCACAGCGGTTCCACGACCGGCATTCCGCGAACGAGAGACGAGGCGAGCGTCTGCGGCAGCTTGGAGTCCCCCCCCCTTTTTTTCTGGCCTTTTGATTCCATCAACAAATGAACGGAGTACATAGAACAGTATTTAATTATTTTTGTGTTAACATTATTCGGAAATATTTTCTTTTTAGAACTATGAATGCGGTGAGCCTTGACAAATGCAAGGAATGGGATCATCGGGTTTAACCTCCCCGCACTTCAGCTCCGTATGTCTTCTAGTCCTCTCAGGCATGTTTCACCTTTGCAGCTCCGCTTTTATCCTTCTAATCCTTAAAATAAACAAACTCAAAGCGGACGGGAGATTCTTAATCGAGAAACGCGGACGCTGCTGCTTTGAAAAATGTAGTCCATTAGTGGAGAAACAAAAGCGAAATGAGGTGTCACGAGTAACAACTTGTACTATGTGGACCCGAAACATTGTAGGAAAACTGTCTCAGAGAATTACCACGCACTCCTATCCCACACCTACTGGATGGCAAAGAAGAAGAGTACCCAGAGTGTATAAACTTTACTTCGACATTGTATATTTTTCGATGACACAATTCTAAAAAAATCAACAAAGTTCATGAGGTCGCCAGCATTCCTCCTCTCGACCCCTTACACCCCATGATATACCAATGAAACACTAACATACAAAGCAGTCCCGAATTCTTCGTCTTGTCGCCTCCCACATGAATGAAGCTATTCTCCGAGACAAAGACCCAGCCGAGAGAAAACCGGCTCCCACCCCTAGTAGTCTGACGGGCTCAGGTCGTCTTCCCCGCCTTCATCCTCCTCATTGACCAATGTCGTCTCCACAAGCACTGGCTCTTCCACCTTCACCGTCCCAACCGAGGGTCCACCCCTCACCTCGACTAGAATCTCGTTCCGCCTCAACCATGGCAGGGTGTACGGGGGGTTGTACTGGAAGATGCGGTAAGACGCAGGGTCCACAACGGTCACCCCGTCCCTATCCAACAGGGACAGCAACGAGATCAACTGCCGCTGTACCTCGCCCTCTGTGGCAAAGCCTGCGAACTCCCTTGCCGCCAGCCGTTCGCGGGCGGTGGTGGTCAAACGGACCTTGCTGTCCATAGGCCGCGGGGCCGTCTCGGTGGTGTAGGGAGAAGCCATGATGAAACGCATGCTGTAAGCTTCCCCGGCCCCGCGATGCTGGGCATCCTTCCGTATCTCGACAGGCGTGGTCATCGCCATGTTCGTCTTGGCCTCGTTCGCGCCAAAAATGTAGCCGGCAAGCGTGTTGAAGGCGCCCCCTGTCATGGTGGGACTGCCCAGCACCGGCCCGGCACTCGTGGACCCGGCCTTGGCGTCACTGCTGCCCATTTCTGTGTAGGCGACTGTGAGAGACAAAAAAGGTCAACCAAAATGTCAAAGAAAACGGAATGCCGACCCGGATCAGGAGCCTGATGGAGAGACAAGCAGGGGGCTAGCCATTTGACTCGGGCTCATGCCGACCAAATAGGGAACACTGCAGGCGTATCCGCTGGCAGTGGAAGAAAAAAGAGCAAGCATCCACGCACCTGTGTACGGGTCATACTCGCGTATCTCGTAACCGTGGCCCTCGTGAAGGACCTGGAAGGAGGGGGTCTCCAAGCCTTCGGGCGTCCGTAGGAAAACAGTGCGGGCCTCCGAGGGCAAGGCAGTCGAAACCTCTCGCAGAGTCTCCGCCAACTGGAGACAAGAGGGTATCGTGAAGTTCGTGGAAGGTGAAGGGGGGAAATGAGGAGGGGATGAAGGAAGATTGAGAGGTGAATCGGGGGACCGGAAGTGTCGCGGTCGATGAGCACAGACCAAGGCAATGGACGCGTGGATCCCGACGGAACATTAGACACGCAGCCAGAATCCCTTTCCAGAGATAGTCAAAAAGAAGAAGGGTTTGGGTTGTTCGGTAAAGAATAACAGAAAGGGAGGCTGAAGAGAGAAAAAAGGGGGAGAAACGGGTAGGCACCTCTTTCGGGTTCTTCGGCAAGTTCTCGTAAGAGCGCTGTGCGAGTTTAGGCATTTCTTCCAGGAGTATCTTGGCAGCTTGCTCTGGTTCAGAGGCCAGCTGAGGAATAATGTCCTCTGTCAGTTGCCGGCGCTTGTAGAGATGGTAGGGGAGACGCGAAGGAAGGTGAAGGGTTCAATCATGACAAGCTTCAAAAACAGCAGAGAAATGGGCGCAAGTGCGTTGCAAGCAGGCGTTCACTGACGTACCACAGCTTTGATGCCATCGGTCAGCAAACCATCCACAGAGCCTTCGCGGATGGCCTCCTCCACGTCTTTGCGGATCTCGGGGGCCCGGGAGACCACGTCCTACGAAAAATCAGGGTGGTAAGGTGGGTCCTTCAGTGAGTACAATGATCGAAGCGTTGACCCATACATTCGCATGTTTATTTTGTCTCGGCAATATTACTGTAAACAAAATAGTGAATCCAGAAGGCGGCTGAATACCGGGAAGAGCAGCGGGCGGAGGATGGCAAGCATGACCGCCACAAGAAGCTCTATTCCGTGCAAATCACGAACCTGAAAAAGCACCTGACGCTGAGCCATGCCAGTGGTCGGCGACATGAGTAGCTCCAAGGACTCTTGCCAAGACAGCTCTCCCTTACTTTTTGTGGCCTCCAAGCGGACCACATTACTGACTGCGACCCGGGGAGGGAGCCGGGACGGCAGCCAAAAAGCACCGCTTCTGTCCAAAAAATCCCACAAAAGGAGTCCCACGACTACGCGGCGTGTCAAAAACTGCATGTGCGACTCTCGTTCGAAATCCTGTCCGGGAAAAGGGGCGTTGGAGTAAGTCTCGTGGTCGCGGAAATAGAACATTCACTTGGAAGACTCTGGGGAAAGAGCGTCAGAGCAGAGATGTCAAGTTACCTCCCGCATGCCATTCGATAGCTCGAAATATCGAAGTTTTTTTCCATAAAAATAAATACTAATCGATGTTTTTCAAGTACTCTGTAGGCCAACATTTTTCATTCTTACTTTGTGTCGCAGCTTTGTTCCTTTTTCTGCGGACTTCGCGTCCTGTACTCGCATGTAGTTCTCACACCGTCAAGGCCGATTCAGTGATGGAGCGACAGGGATGATATTGCCGTAGAGTTTCCCATGGGACGACGACTTTGATCGGTAAAAGCTCGTCTTTGGTCATACCGTCAGTGACTTCCCACCTTCATTCATCCAAACGTTACTCGAACCACGTTGTTTCTGGCCACTTCTCCTTCACATGCTCATGACCACCGATAGCCTCTCTATCCACTTCACCGGTGTGAAACTTCCTGTTCGCCTTTTCCCTAAATTTAACTTCATAATCTTCTTGGCGAGTCGACGCATGCGTGCCTCTGCTTCTCGTGTGCCGGGCCCGCCACACCTTTCCCGGCGTTTTCCTTTCCTCCTCCCCCCCCTCCCCATCGGGGAGGGCCACCACCAAATGTGCCTCCAGCTTCCTATACACCCTCCACAGGAAAGAGACGACGGGAAACCGACAGAGCCACCGCAACGCCCGAATAAAAAGACGCAAACCCCTGTAGCCACTGCGGTATTTCACCACGTGCTTCACCCCGTCCACTTTCTTCACGTCCAGCACCTTCGTCCACTCCAAAAACCGTTTCACATTCCCGGGACGCAGCATGCGCGGGATCTTTTCCCCCACTCCCCTTTTCACCCTGCCCAACAATCCGCCCACCCCCCGGCCAACGTGACCTATCGCCCGCCGGAGCAGGTTCCGCTTCTTCTGTTTGGGCGCGAGCAACAAAGCGGAGATAGCCAGCCAAGGGAAGGAGAAGCACAAGTCCAGCCAAAAATCACGCGTCAGATACTGCACGGCGATGGCGTGGGGGTCCGTCAAGAGCACCAGGGTCTCCGTCTCTGCCTCAGAGTCGACCCCGGCTTCCACCTCGGTCCGGAAGGCGAGGGCCAGGTCGGCGAGGAACCAGAAGGTTTCCAGAAGAAGAAGGTGATAGATGACAAGGTTTGTATACCGGTGACTTTGCGTGCGTATTTATGTTA